AACAGCACAGGGAAGAAGGAGGGGCTGGTAGATGCTTGATCCCACCCAGGGGAAGCAGGAGAGAACTGATACAGCCTGAAGGAACCGAGAGTCTTGTTTAGATGATGGTTTGGGTGGGGACCAAAGACACGGGATAATCTCAGGTGCTCCAGCTTCCAGGAACTGCCTTTGTGCTCCCTAACCTACATGCAGCCTTCTCTTTAGTTGTATTCTTCCTTCTCCCAGGAAGAGCTCTCCTAGCCATCACCTCTCTTCTCAGTGTCAGCAAGGTCCTTCTGCTACGAGGACTGAGGGATGGAGGTAGCCTCCAAGTTTTCCCTGCCCCAGAACCATCTCATCTCACTCCTCCCAGCTTCTCCCTCCTCCTTCTCACCTAAGCCACCACCTTCAATCTAGGACAGGCCCAGGTTCACGTTTTGGCCCTTGTATTTGCTTTGAGGGGGAAAAAAATGCACACAAGTGAGCCTGGTCCAACACCTCAGAGACCCAGCCACTGCAGAGGGAGGAGAGCAGGAGCAGCCGGTGGGCTCATCGCCCAGTGCCTGGGGCTGGCACCGTCCCATGTAGCAAAGGGTTAGGCCACTGATTTCTACGTGGAACATTTCTGAAGCAAAATCTCTTATTTCTTTTAGTTACCAGACTTTCTAAAGGAGGACCGCTCCACTGTCCTTTCAAATAACATCTAAGAGCCCCCAGAGTACCAAAAAGATATAATAATGCCCCTGCAAAAAGAAACAACAAATGGAAAAACCCCAAGAAGCAGAAAACTGTTTTAACGTAACCAAGTTCAAACACAGATTCCCATCAATGTTGCAGCAAACCTGAGTCATGAAATTAAAAGTAGCATCAGCATATTTCCTATTAGCTAGGGTTCCTTTTTCAGAACAGATCATACATTCCTACCCTATTTTTCTAGACACTTGTGTCAATGCGATATCATCAGATGCCGTTCAGTAGCTCCTCTTAGCTTGAAAAAGCTTTCCTGTTGGGAAGGATGGGATTTTAATATTTAAAAAAGATTCTGAAAAAAGCTTTGCTGAATTTTTTTTTCTTTTTAATATCCCTCCCCTGATCAGAGTGGGTGCATTTTGTAGCTTTTAAATATCATGCAACTTTTAGCAACATTGCTATTAAATTCGAATCTGCTGTCACAGCAGGCAGCATGAATGTGATTTGCACCAGCGTGGAGAGTGTATTCTGTCTTCTCCAGCTACTACGCCGCCTCGTCAGAAACTCACAGTCGTTAGCTACGATCACCTGGCATCTGACACCGTCATCACATTCCCAACATCGTCTAATAGCTAAAAGCCATAACAGAACCAAACTTGCCTTCCCTGCGTCATCTCCCGTGCCGAGCACCATTGGCTGGCAGGGCCCAGCATCACCTTGGTGATGTCCTAGGAAAGCTTTACCTCTCTCCCCCAAGGCTTTTTTCAACATGTTTTCCCGTCAGCCCAAGTCGCACCATTTTCAGTTGTCCCTCAGCCTGCTGCTGGGGCCGTGAAGTGGAAGCGGTTGTCACTGCTCCGCATTTCTTTGGCGGGTTGGAGCTGCCTAAGGGAAGCATTGGGAACCCAATGGCAGCAGTGCCAGCCCACAGCTGGGCGGCTGCAGAATGCTGAACTGACCCGGCGTGGGCTGTGCTAGCTTGGGCCCTCCTTTGATAGGCCTGGACCATGCTTGGCCGTAGGGCAGTGCATAGTTCCAGAGAGGGGCTCCCAACAGGTAATGCTGGGGCCCTCCCTGCCCACCGGCACTGGGAGACCTCCCCCGCGATGGAGAAGCAACATTCCTGCATTACAGAGCCCACAGTGTGGAAGGGCTCGCTCACTTGTCCCAGGGCAAGAAGAAAAGCTGAGTGGCAGGAGTGGGATCTCTCCTGCCCCGTTGCTCGCCTGCACCTGGCCCTGACCCTCTCCGATGAGAGACATCCCAGCTGGATAATGAGTGCTGTGCAGGTCTCACCTTGCCTCAGTGGCAGCTAAGGAGATATTTGGGGATGACTCCTTAGGAAGATGATGGGGGGACAGTTTCTCAGGAAGGCGATGTGCCTGCCCGGCTGCAGCTGTGCAACACG